AGGGAGGGAGGGAGAAGGAAAAACAGATCAGAACGACAAAAAAGAAAAATCCCCCGCCCCACGGATTTGAATGACATCCAAACCAAGTTAACCCAAGTACCCAAGCCAATATACTTTGTTCAACAAATACTTCAACTACCACATTGCCAATTTAGCAGAGACGGGGCCACCACCGATATGCTAGCCCCCACTCTAGCCACCGAAAACAAGGCCCTAACAGAATCCATGAGCCGACACCACCTCATTCTCGGTTTGGTTACAGAGCTGTAACCAAGAGTTGAAGACGTGTTGGGTCACAAGTGCAATCCTGGCTCAATTAAACAATTAAGGAGGAGTAGCAATTCTGAGCAAGGTTGACAAATGGCTTTCTGGTAGGCCCTTTAATTAGATCAACTCCGCAAATGGTGCCTGGCTTCTCCATCCTGTTACTCCTCATCCCAACCCCTCCAATTTCCCTCCCCCGTTTTCCTGAAAATAAGACCTCCCCGGATAAGAAGCCCAACCGGGCTTTTGAGCGCATGCGCTAAAATAAGCCCGCCCCTGAAAATAAGCCCTCTCCGAAAATATTGCAACACAGCAGAAGCCGTGAGGTGACAACGCTCGCTGTCTCCTGCACCTCAAAGAATAATAAGACCTCCCTGAAAATAAGGCCAAGTGCTTATTTCGGGGGTCAAAAGAAAATAAGACTCTGTCTTATTTTCGTGGAAACGCGGTCATTTCAACTGGTCCTCAGAGGCTACGAGTTAAGAATGAAAATATTAGAATATCTTCATGATCCCATTTGCTGGTCTTCTCCGGGTGCCCGAAGGTTGCGTTGTACAGCTGATAGCAAGCACAGAAAACCAGCTTTTTTACATCCAAGACTTCATGGGCCCAGCGTGTGAAAGGACAAGGCAGTACCTGTCAATTCCAAAGACCTACCTGGAGGTTGAAAAGTACCTGTCAGATCCCCGGAGCCCCTTACGAATGTTGTAGGACCTCAATCTCAAGGAGGGGAGGTCCTAGGCTTTCCTGCGCTCTTCCCATTCAGCGGGGAAAGGCATTTTCCCATTTCTGAACAGGCAGTATGCATACCGTTCAGCAAGCAAGAGGCTTCCTGGTGCTTTCCGTCCAGGGCTGGGCTCCACTCGTACATTCCTAGCATTTCATAGATAATCAGCAACTGGTACTGTCAACAGCAGAGGTGTGGAAGGCCAGGAGGTCCTCCTGGCAGGCTGATTAAGAGGCAGGTGAGTAAAGCACCAGCATTGTAGTTTACTACACTGAGAATATGTTTCAGAGGAGTGGAGTGTGTGTGTGTGTGTGTGTGTGTGTATNTGTGTGTGTGTGTGTGTCAGTGGTGGGTTTCAAAAATTTTTGGAACCTCTTCTGTAGGTGTGGCCTGCTTTCCGGGTCCATTAGTGGAACCTCTTCTAACCGGTTCGGTAGATTTGACGAACCGGTTCTACCGAACTGGTGCGAACTGGCAGGAACCCACCTCTGTCCCCAGGGCTTCCTTAGTGCCATTCGCCAGCAAGAACCGTGCAGGAAATCCGAGGCTACCCTGATGACCTCCATCGCCCAGAGACGTTTCTGCTAAGCCTACCTGAAAGATTTGTCCTGGGTGGAGTTGACCCCTGCAAACGACTGGCTCCTATTGATCCTGACCACCAGGCTGCGCCGCTGGGGTCGTACAGAGAGGGACATCGTGGAATTCCACCGGGAGGGACTCCCTATAAAGAAAACAAACCAAGGAAGATTGAGCTGAGCTTCCAAATCGGTCACAACATTCCCCAGCTTTTTCCCCACGTGAGAGTTTATGTCAATAGCGATAGCGCTTAAGACTTGTATACCGCTTTGCAGTCCTTTACAGCCCTCTCTAAGCAGTTTCCAGAGTCAGCCTATCCCCCCCCCCCTCCCCAAACAATCTCATTTTACCAACCTCGGAAGGATAGAAGGCTGAGTCAACCTTGAGCTGGTCAGGATTGAACTGCAAAACACCCCATCCCGTCTCTACCAACATATCCTCAGACACCTCATGCTGTCTAGGGTCAGGCTCAGGTTTAGGGTTAGGTTTAGAGCGTGCTTCTGTCGGCGCGCTGTTGTCGGCACGCTTCAGCTCTTATTTGTTGGCGCGGTTTAGAAATCGCGGTTTTGTCACCGCGCTTTTGTCGGGTGTGCTTTTGTTGGGCGCGCTTTTGTCGGTGAACCCTTGGTCCATGCTCTAATTTGGAAACGTAGGGGTTTTTTCACTTCCAAGCACGAGGCATCCTTTTGGTTTCTATTTTAGTTTCTAAAATAAAATAGCTACCCAAAGTTAAAAAGGCCAGATTCTGTATCCACTGGTATTGTGAGTGTACAAAACTTACAACACACATTCAGCCATGCACAACCCAAGCAGTCCAATGAGAACACTATTGCCCAATGGCACGAACTGAAAGGCAAAATAAAACAATGCAATGATGATTGATGATGTTCCTGTTTAGAAACAGACTAAAGCAGACCGATGACACAACAGGAAGTAATATCGCTACAGTTTCCTATCAAGTATAACCTGTAAATCGAGTCTAATTATAGACAAGTCGGATTTATTTTATGTATTCCTTACATGTATCCACCGAGGTGTTTGCTTAAACTGAATTTGTTTCAAGTCAATACTGGTGCTTTCTGTATCACTTATTTTACTAAGCAGTCAACTGATCAAGTGTTTCTATGGAATGTTTTTGTTTTGCTTCTGTTCAGAAATATTGTTTTATTGTTTTCTGCTGACTTCCCTTTCCTTACCAGTTATTTGTTTCGATAATGCTGAGAGAGAGAGAGAGACAGAGAGACAGAGACAGAGAGAGACACACAAACACACACAGAGAGAGACAGAGAGACACAGAGAGAGAGAGAGACAGAGACACACACACAGAGACAGAGAGAGACACACAAACACAAAGAGAGAGAGAGAGACAGAGACAGAGAGAGACACACAAACACACAGAGAGAGACAGACAGACACACACACACACAGAGAGAGACAGAGAGACACAGAGAGAGAGAGAGACAGAGACACACACACAGAGACAGAGAGAGACACACAAACACAAAGAGAGAGAGAGAGCCGGAGACAGAGAGAGAAACACACACAAAGAGAGAGAGACAGACAGACACACACACACACAGAGAGAGACAGAGAGACACAGAGAGAGAGAGAGACAGAGACACACACACAGAGACAGAGAGAGACACACAAACA